TAAATAAACAAGTAAACAAATGAAAGATGAATGGACACATGAACATAGCAGACACCAAAAGCCTCTACTATAATATTCCTACTATAAAATAGAGTATAATATGCTCTAGTTTCAGCCACATGACCTCACTGTAATTTCTGCTTGTTCTGCCTTGCTCTTTTCTCATTGATATACTCCTCTCCTCCTGTCTTTTCTGGCCCTGTTAAAACCTACTCATTTGACTCTAATTACCAGCAGTAATTAGAGTGTATAAAGTATATATACTCCTCAAACACATATGTGTACATATTGTCTGAAAAGATCCATATTTGAGAGTCAGCAAAATGGGCACTTGCTGCCCAACTCTGACAACCTGAGTTTGATCCCTTTCCACGATGGTGGAAAGAGATAACTGAGTGCTGCAAATTGTCCTCTGATCTCCACACCATGGCATGAGTCAGTTCTTCTCCCTCAAAACAAGATAAGTATTTAAAAAAAAAACAAGTAAAAGGATACATATCTGACATGTGGCAAGATAAGATTTGTAATTCTATATAGTAGTCCATAACAGCCATCCTGAGCTTTCATTGTTTTTAGCTTCAAATAGTATTAATGATGACAGTAGATATTTGTTAAGACTTGGGATAAGGGAGGCTCCAGACTGTCTATGGGGTGATCCTAGCTGAGACTCATAGCAGCGGGAGATATGGAGTCTGAAGTGGCCACCTCCTGTACCCAGGCAGGACTTCCAGCTGAGGGATAAGGACACTAACTCACCCACAAAACCTTTGACCCAACATTTGTCCTGCCAATAAGATGTGCAAGAGACAAAGGTGGAGCAAATATTGAGGGTACTGCCAAGCAAACACTGGCTCTACTTGAGGCCCATCCCATGGGAGAGAACCACTCCCAACACTATTAATGTCTCTTTGCTATGCTTATGGAGAGGAGCCTGGCATAACTCCTCTGAGAGCCTTCATCCAGAAGCTGATGGAAACAGATGCAGAGACCCACAGCCAGACATTAGACAGAGCTCAGGAAGTCCCATGGAAGAATTGCAATAATGACTGAGGGAGCCGGATGAGTTAAGAACTCTATAAGAAGATCTACAGAGTCAACTTTCCTGGGCCCATAAGGGCTCACAGAGACTGGACCACGGACCAAAGAGCATGCGTGGAGTGGTCCTAGGCCCCTGCACACATGTACAGATGCATAGCTTGGTCTTCATGTGGATCCCCCCAGCAACTGGAGCAGGGACCCTTTCTGACCCTGATGTCTCCCTTTGGATCCTGTTTCTCTAACTGGGATTCCTTGTCTGGCCTCAGTGGGAGAGGATGTGCCTAGTTCTGCAGTGACTTAATGTGGGTTGGTACCCATGGGGCACCTCCTCCTTCTCTGCGGGGGGGAAGGGTGTGCAATGGGGAGAATTAGGAGGAAAGGAGGAGAGCTGCAATCAGGATGTAAACAAATACATTTAAAATAAAAAATATTGAGCTATTTTTTCTTTTTTCTTATTTATTTATTTTAATTTTTAAATTATTATTATTTATTACATTCTATTCAATATGTATGCTGGCTGTGAACCTCTCCCTCATCTCTTCCTAATCCCACCCTCCCTTCCGCTTCTCTCCCTATACCCCTGCAGGTAATCTTATGAAAGAAGGGGGAGATAAAATACTAAACTGTGTTAAATACTAAAATGCCTAAACATACAACACATTATAATTGCTCAAACACTTAGTAAAAGTCTTCAAAATATTTTAAAAATGTTTTTCCTTTAGAGTTAGAGAAAATATGAGTTTTTAAAAACTGTAATTCAGACTTTAAAATAGAATTATTTACACCATTTTTTAACATAATTATGACAGTACTATGGTTATTGTGGTTAGTTTAGAATTTTGTGAATAAACATCTTCAGGGAACCTGAACACTTCTTAGCCATCTTGCCAAGGTCGTCTCCATTATACAGCTTTCTTTTAAGGAGGGGAGAGAATGAGAAGTCAGGTTTCTTACCAATGATTTTTAAAAGGCAGTTTTGTGTCAGCCATACCTGCCTTTCTTTTTTATTAATGAGATATGCAACAAGATTAATAAGCATTATAAATAATTAGTGCTTACAATTGCCTCTTGCAAGCGATTTCTGAGTTGACCTTCCTTTCGTAAAATCCTATGAACTATCTTCAACATGTGAGCATCTGCCCATGTCTCTAAAGTGCATGTACATATCACACACCCTGTGGGCTTTAATGATTTAGAATAAGGGATCCTGAAGAGACCAAAACAGTTTAAGCAGTACCTTTGAAAACAAGAAAGCCGAAGTATGGAGGAAGGTGATATATTTCTGATCCCTAAAAGGCTGTGAGCCAGTTGTAATGCCAAGCCTTTGACACATATCCAGCCAGTGTTGGCTTCTCTATCTGGCTCACTATGTGCTCAATTCACATTAATTTTATTTATAGGGTTTGAAAAACTGTTTTCATCCTAACTAGTTTGTTCTGGCGTGAACTGTGTGACTTGTTTAAGCACATAACACATGGATCAAGAACCCAGGGATGTTCCTGATGTGTACATCACAGAGCCTTTACCTGTAACCCCATGGAAGCAGGAAATGAGGACTTCAAGCACCTCCATGGCAAGGTACAGCCACTGGCTGGGAGAAAGGGACAGGTAACTTTTGCGAAGCACCAGGGGTGGACTGCAGATGTGTATGACAGTAACCAGACATCACCAAAATGCCTTATTACCTGCTCAGTGCTGTGTTAAGAAGGGAGCTTGAACATATAGCTCATTTAGATTGGATCCCCTGTGTGAAGGCACAGGGACAGCAGACCATATTAGTATAAATCAATCTGTTTCTGAGTGTGCTCCCCTGCCAGACAGCAGAGTGAAAACTGTGTTCTTGGCATTGGAACTGGATTTTAAACAGCCTATGCTTTGAGCATTTACCCAGTGCCTCTCTTGTGCTTTGAGAAGGTTTCCAGAAGAGATGACTCTGTAATAGTCCTCCATCTGCCCTCATGACTGAATCTGACTTGTGAGATGTTTTGAGGGAAGCCTGTGGCTCTGTAATGGATTCTTTTCAGCTGTGGGCAGTTAACTGTCATTGTGGTTGCCTGGCAACAATGGACAGCAGAGCAGTGCCAGGGATTCCAGACCTCTAAGGAATGAGGTTAGTTGGTGTCTGTCCATGGGCAGAGGATCCCAATGGGCCTGGCTTGAAATGGGAGGATGTCATAGCAAGAAAGTTGTAAGGCCGGACTTTGAAACCCCAGTGAGATGCAGGTGAGCCCCCAGCTACTTTTGTTCAAAAATAAGCCATGGAAATATCTGGATAAAGCAACCTTTAACTCCATATATTTCAAAGATAACCTTTCTTTAAAGTCTGGGGAAAACATCAAAGAGACTTTTTTTTCCTTTCCTGATGACTGACCTTTTTCTATGGATGATTCTGTCTTTCCGAACACAGGGCAAGGCCTGAAGTACGGTAAGTTTCAACAAGTGTTTGTCAAAGGAATAAAAATTTTCTTCATGTAAATTTCTCAGAATTATACACTCACCCATCCCTAATACCTTAATGGTGTGGGGATGAGGGTGCTGAGCCAGCTAGCCCTCTTTCTGGAGCCGCAGAAAAAGAGTGACACTATCTGCACTCTCCTCCCATGGTGTACAAGGCTGGGCATTCCTTCTCAACTTGTTCTCCAAGTAAAAAAGTACCAACCAACCTTGACCCAAGGAATGGACACAGAGATGACCTTTCTAGTCAATCTGCACTCAATCACTAGAGATTTTGCGTGTGGGCTCCAGACACATTTTTTTTTTCTCTTCAAATATGGAAATAGCTCCCATTTAGAATTTTCTTTCAGATCTTGAGTGAGATTAATTGTGCCCTTTTTGTAGAAGAGGCTGACACCTCAAGGGCAGTTTCCTGTGTGGGATGGTCGCATACGGTCCTGGTATCTTCCTCATTTGGCTATGAACTGTATCTTCCTAATTTTAGCGAATGTGTGAGCTTGCCTTTGACATTGGATCAGTCTCTTGTGGTTAATAAGGAAAACTCGCTAATCTCTTACATTTTTATGTAAAAAAAAAATCTTGTTTCTATGAGCAATCTATGAACCTCAAAAGATGCACAGCCTCTTTTTCTATTTTGAAACACTAAAACTTAGAAAACATCCATCTTCTCTTAATTTCCCTTAACTCACCTAGTGGATTGACATTGTGATATGCAGACAGTTAGAAAGGTGAACATAATGTTCCACGCAGAGGCAAGATGCCCTGTGATTATTAGCTGTGACGTGAGTAACCCAGTGTGAAGCAACAGTGGTGCCCAGGGCAAAGCAGAACACTGTCCTCATTGTCAAGTGTCCTGTGAGCTCTTGTTCTTATACACAGAGCCAACTGTGGGGTGCAGGTACCAACCAGGGCTGCTGAGGTAAAGTCAGGATGGTGCTCTGCTGCCATCCTTGATCCTGCGGTGGGTCCAGTTTAACAGTTTCTTTTCTGAGCAGGTACGAACTGGTCTCCTAATTTTGCTTGCCATTCTCCTTTCCCCTCTTCCCATGCCCTGAAGACAAACCCTCTCCATCATTTCCACTAACCACGTGGGAACTTGATTCTAACTTCTTTAAACAGAGGAGGGTGACAGCTCAAATGCTACAAATCTATGGACCAAAAAAGCTCCTTCCCAGGACCCCCTCTCCTGTATGAACAGGCTGCTCACCAGCAGTGCTGCCAAACCAGTCATGTTCAAATCATGCATCTGCACAGCCGCTAGTTACTATTCCAAAGTAAAAAGCGTGAAAGAAAAACCTAGGAATCAGACAAATGTTATTAAGTGGAGAGAAATGCTTATGCTCTGGTAAGGCATTGAAGGAAGATAAACTACTTATAGCCTCATGTGATATCACTATACCTCCATGTCACAGCTGTTAAATGAAGCTTTTCAGTTTTCCCATAAATCCTGAAGCAAAAAGCCACTGTGACAAAAACAGGCTCAGAAACATATTTTTTAATTCTGCCTTGTTTTATCTCAAGGCTATTGGGCTTTCTGGAGCTTTGTTTAACTATTATACATGTCTCCGGTGTGTGTGCTTAGTTACTATGGTTATGCTAAGGCCATGACTCGTGACCTTTAAATGCTGTTGTCAGGTGGCCAATGCTCTCTTGTTTTGAAGTAAGCAGTTTTGTCTCATGCTTTATTAACTTTGTGTGGGTTTTGTGCATTCATGGCTCATCTGAGGAAGCCTGTTGACTATGCTATGAGCACAAAAACTGAACATGGTATTTGGTAAACAGGGTATAGTGTTTTTTCCCTATAAAGAATGTTTTTAAAAACACAGGAACACATTGCTACACACATAAACAAATAAAATGAGTGCTACAAGAGAGGTGTCTATAAACTACTTGTGAAACAATAGAGGGTCCAAGAGGCTTCTGGAAAAAGTAGTGTTGAGTGTAGTGTAGAGAAAAGACAAACCTTCATCAAGGTACGAGAAGTCAGTCAAATATCTTTAGAAGAAATGACTGGAGCACATTCCCTGAAACCATTATATAATACAGTTCATGAGCACACAATCGAAAATGAACAGTGAAAACACCTCAGTCAGTAAAGTCATTCAAAGCTACCTGCATGTTGATTTTATCATCAGCTATAGCCAACAGGTTACTTTTCACTCTGTGATAAAGAGGAACTGTCAGACAGGAAGCACCAAAATACCACATTTTACTAGTGTACATATGATTCAAGAAAAGCAATTAAATTTCTTAGAACTCCTGTCTTCTTCCATTAAGTGAAAATTGGATTAATTTCACTCATTAGTCACTGATTGCCTTTTTGAGCCTTTTTAAGTGGTTCTAATGTCTTTGAGAAGTTAGGAAAGTAAGCTGTAAACATTCACATAAATGTGAAAATGAAAAATATATTTTTCTGTTAGGAGAGAAGTTCAGTAGGTTGAGGTTTTAAAGGAAGCCTCATCAGCTGGCAACAATGCAACTGAATGTGCCAACCCTGAAGTTTATTAATGCGCTCATCTCCTCATTAATTCTTTCAAACAGTGTTAACCAGCCTTTCAGTCCTCAAGATGTTAAGGATTGGAGCTGGAAGGCAACTCGGTGGCTCGGTCAGTTGATTAGCATGTGTGGGGTCCTAAATTCAACCCTCAACACTTGAGCACACATAGAAGTTGTCAAGAAAAGAATAACAAAGACCAAGAGGAAAAGGCATCCTGTGCATTTAAGGGATGTACCTGGTCAGTTGTGTGACACAAGTATAAGTAAACCCTGTAGACTCTCAGAAAGTAGTGACAACAGCAGGGAAAGACCGAGTACAGCAAGATGAAAGTTTTGATTGTAAGCCAGATGCATATGACAGGTCCACGGAGAAGGTGACATCTGGACAGACACAGGGATGATGGATCCATTGTATTCTTAAGGGCTAAGGATGCTTTGGAAGCCAAATGGAAAAAAAAAAGTATTTCTAAGATGTGATGAATCAAGTTAAAAGCTGTTAGAGTGAATTGTCACAAGAACAGTGCAGATGAAAACGAGGAGAGCCCTGGAGATGTACATTACCGTGGAGTGATTCTAGAAAAAGCATGCATGATAGGAGTGGCTTTAAGTAAAAGAAGACGAGGGAAGGAATTGGGGGCAATGGACAAACAGGTGTTGTCATGAAGAGGGTTAGAGGAATAAAGCAGAAACTAAAAAGTCCCAAAGGCTCAAGCTGAAACATAACATACAAATAACATACTTGTAAGCATGGGGACCGATGGAAAAGAGATGAGATGAGAGAGAGAAAGAAAGGGAGGGGTGACTGTCCTTGCTTTTCACTGAGAGGATGCACCCTTTGCTTATTTTAGTTGAAACAGGGATTTTGCAGGTTTTCAGAACACATCATACTGCTGTTCAGTCTGCTTATCCTCAAGAGAGCCTTTAAAGGCTGGTTTATCTTCCAAGCAAAGTTTACATTCTGTTACTTTTACTTCCTTCTGAAATGTCCAGAACATTTGTGAGAAAGACTCGATTTTTTTAGTTTTACGTATTACAGTGTAAAGACCTACTCAGTGTTATTGCTCTCTATCTCTGTCTCTCTTTGTCTCTCTCTCTCTCTCTCTCTCTCTCTCTCTCTCTCTGTGTGTGTGTGTGTGTAGCTGTCTAAAATAAAATTTTGAAGTTCTAAACTCTTATTTCTTTCACCATGTTATCCAGGTCGGTGTGTAGGTCAACATTTGGAAGTTATCCTTCAGATACAGTGTCACCCGAAAACAGAACATTGGTAAGAAAGAAGCTTTGCCTAATATATTTTCTGTTGGGAAAATAAAAGTGATTTAATCAATTTAATTTAATATTAAAGTTTTCTTGATAAAATTTAGTTTTCACATCCTGTTAGTAAATATTTTTAAACAAATGGTGGAACATTCCTGCCCAAGACGGATACTGAAGGAAAAGGAATGGGGGTGTTTGGGGGGAAGGAGAGGGGAGGAGAGATGGCAGATAAGAGTAATGTGGTATATGTGGCCCTTCCCATTTTAACACATCATTGATTTCACATTGCTCTTTGTGGCCCTGTGATAGCTTACACTTCCTGGGCTATTTCAAAGAATTTGTTTGTATATAAGGAAGTCCTGGAATTGAGGCATGACATAAATACAGCAGAGCACGGTATTTGGTTTAGTTAAGCTAGGGTTTAAAACACAGTCTATTCCAGATATATCCAGTTTGGGTCTCTTTCAAGGCAATTGAAATAGCTGGCTCTGGACTCAGAGGTATTTCATAGTTATGCCATTTACTTGGGATAATTGCCCCTTCTTCCGTAGTCCCTTTACCCTTTGAATAAGTCTAGGTGGTAATGGAGAAGAGGAAGCTGGCTGAGGCTCGGGGTTGGAGGGTATAGGGACTATACTTTTTGCAAATGTAAGAATTGTCCTTAAGTTTCACTCAGTCTCCCTTGGTTCAGTTTTAGGACCTTCTAGACTCCACCCAAAGGCATTTCTCAAACTGTCTGAGCTCTGACTTAGTGAGGGTGGTATAGTATGAATGGTCCTAACACCAGGATTTAAAACACAGACCCAGGTGCAAAGTTTTCACCTCTAAGCTTTATGACTGCATCCAATTCTTTGAATCTCTGTGAGCCTTATCTTTTCACCTACAGAACTGATAATAATGTGGCTTGAGTAATAACTTCAGATAATATATTTGGGATATGAAAACAGTTGGAAAGAGCCCAGAAACACTGGGATGTTACTGAACTGACAGCACTCAGGAAGCCACTCAGGAGCCTGCCTCTTACCCTTTGTTTCTTCAGAATCTGTGCTGTGTCTGGCCTCTCCCCAGCATCATGGGTTAGGACAGACAATCAGCTTGAGAGTTACATATCCAGGATATCACTTTTGCACAAGTAATTTAGTTCATAAATCCTAACCTCTGGGGCTGGAGAGATGCCTCAGTGGTAAAGCGTACTTGCTTCTCTTGTAGAGGATCCAGTTTCAGTCCCCAGCACCTACGTGATAGCTTACAACCATCAGTAACTCCAGTTCCAGGGGATCTGATATCCTCTTCTGGCCTTCATGGGCATCATGAATTTACATGGTGCATAGGCATTCATATAGGTTAAGCACTCATATACATAAAATAAAACAAAATATATCTTTAAAGACAGGGTTGGCAGACTTCTCTTCTTTACTGTTGTTCTAGTCCTACCTAGACAAACTGAACACAGCTCTTAAATCCATGAACCATTTTCAGAAGGTCTTTGTTAGAAATAAAGAAAAGTTAAGTGGAAACCCAGTTCAACTTATTAAATGGTTTTAATGAAAAATATAGCCTATCTACACTGGTTTTGTTGTTGTTGTTGTTTTTAGGTAGAAAAAAGTCTAAAAATGAATTTTTATTTTATTTAATGAAGCTATTTATGAATACATGACCTACAAATGATGCTCCCATTACTTCTCAGTTTGATGGCAACTTCTGAGTCTGAGAAATGCGACACCTCATGGCCCTGCTGTCTGTGAACTCAGCCCTTTCCCAGAGTGAAGAATCCTCCCCTTTCCAATTTACAGTTGATGTGATTTGCATGTCTGGGGCTTGGAGAAGCCAGCTCTGCTTCCTCTCTTTTTACATCTCTGGAGATTTACATTTAGCTGGAGGAAGTCAGGTTCAGAGACCTCAGAGGCCATGAAATATCTATAGTTACTATCCCATCTACCACATAGTCCTGTTTCATCATGGACATTTTAAGACTGAGAGCCTCAGAAGCAATTATGTGCCAAGGGGCACCAAATCATTGTGTCCTTTAAATCATTAGTTTTAGTTTGAGAAGAGAAAATGGAGACATGAAGGATGAGATCTATTTCAGCTGTAGGAGGCATTGGCCACACTCTAGCTGTCTGTCACACTTGGTAAGCTGTGAATTCCTAAAGGGGTAGACTCTGCTACTCTTAATGACCCTGTAACCAAGTTTCAGACATCTAAATGTCTCTCTGTTGATATCATTTGAAATAAAAATTATGGGCGGAGGTACAGGCCTAAAGCAGAATATGTGCCCTCAGATTCTTACAGCAGCAGATGAGTGGTGGCCAACAGCATCACCTTTCTGTTATGATGTTCTTCTTTATGATATTAGCCATTCAGAAATTGTGATTCAGTGAGGTTCAAGGAGCCTCCATATGTGAGAGCTCAAAGAAGAATGTGTTCACATTTGGTAGGGACATTATAGGACAACCTGATGAGAGCTAGATTCACTCCTTGGGCACCAGGAGACCCCCATCTATCTCAGACTATTCCTTTGATTCAGTTGGAGAATCAAGATGTTACTTGAACATCCTTGCTCTGTTTTGCCATCTTCTGACAAAAACAAAACAAAACAAAACCCCACCAATGTATGTAAATCATCTCATTTAAAGCTGTTTAGGAGACAAAAATTCTATTGTATGGAAGATCAGCTTGAAATGATCAGGATTGTTCTTTCCAAGTCAGTCTTGAGAACCCTGGCAATGGGGAATGTTGATGTCTCTGGTTACAGGAAGAGACACACACAAAAGTGAAAATATGGCTATAGGCTTAGATACACTAAGATTATCCCCAAGCTATTCACTTTCCAGCTGTAATGTAGTAACAGCTTCATTAAAGAGTCATTAGCTTAGTGCCAGAGAATTTTAATTTCTATGGTTGAGTTTAGAAGATGACCTGAAGTTACCTAAATGAACCCACATTTTATAAACTGGGGATGAAAAGAGATGATGTAAGTCATGTCAGGTTGTTGGCTCTGCTCTTCCTTTAGCAGCTGGTATGAGAGCAAGCAGTCCCAGCCAGAATTCCACTTCTCAGAATTTTAACATTCTCCTATGGGGTTTCTAGAAGATTCCCCACCCCTTTGATGAGCAGAAGTTCGAATCATTAACGAATCAAGGTGTCAACAGATCACTGTGCTTTATAGGAACATTTCAAGGGATTCAAAGCCCTTTCATTCTTCAAACGAGAGGAAGATGGGCCCCATTTCCACATATATTTAAATAGATTTGTCAGGATTCTAGAAAATAGGTTAGATTTCAAAGTTTACCACTCTAATGAGGAAAAGTAATAACTTGGAACATTTGCTCTGCCTGCTTCTTTCCTCCCTTCCTCCCTTCCAGAGTGATGACTGACAAATTTAATCAGCACAAGTTTTGATGCACAGCTAGCCATGTGCATCATGGCCACCCTCACAGTTAGATAATAGAGCTATTCATCAACCCTAGAACTTTTTGTCTAGTAGAACACGCCTCACAAACACAGTCCTTCAGCATTTCCCTGACTTCATATTCATGGAGCCACACAGTAGGTACCTTTCTCTTCAGCCTCTTTGGTTCAGGGAAAAAAAAAGTTATTTTGATGTCCACTCGTATTTCAGTATGTCAACACTTCATCCTCACTGTGGAACCAAATTCCTTGCTAGGGGTGTGTGTATCTGTGTTTATCTTTTTTGTCTGTTGACTGACATTGAGGTTATTTCCAGGTTTGGGTTTCTACAAATGAAGCTAGGAACGCTCATGGTTGGGTTTTTGTATTCACACATGGTTTCATTTCTTCTGGGTAAACTCCTAGGAATGGAATGATTGAATCATATGGTAAATGTTCCAGTCTTTGTATGGAAATATTCCCCCTCCCCCCATCTTTTGTAAATACCTAGGAGTGGAATGGTTGAGTCATATGATTGATGTAGCTCTTGACTTATTTTGTTAATTGCTAATTGTTTTACAAAGCGGTTGTTGGCATTTTTGCACCTTTACCAGAGAATGAGAAATTTCAGTTCAGTATTTCCAAATTTAGCCCTTTTCATTTCAAGTTTTTATGATACTGAAATTATAACTCATTGTGGCTTTTAATTTGCATTTTCCTATATAATAAGTAATGCCTAGCATTTTACTTGATTATCTGTTACCTTTTTCTGGTACTTAAATATTTTGTTCACTTGTATGTTGTATTGCTTGTTTCTCATTATTCAGCAATGAGTTCTTTTGAAAATACATTTGGGGTTAAAATAATTTTTTGTACTTTGTCTTTCTGACAGTAGTTTCTCCAGTAATAGTTTGTTCTCTTTCTTGACAGTGTTTTCAGAAGAGCAGACGTTTTCAATTTGATGAAATCTAATTTAATAATGGCTACTTTCATGGCTCATGCTTTTGCTATTTCATCTAAGACATCTTTGCCCAGGGACATACATATTTGTTCCCAAGATTTTTGTCTAAGACTTTCATAGTTTAGGGTTTTATAATTAGGTCTAAGATCCATTTTGAGTTCCTTTGACTGATAGCTGAGTTTCTCTTCAGGAATTCCCTCCCGCTGAAAGCAGTCGCTCAGGATGGGGCTTCCTATGATGGCTCGATGCAGGGCCTCTGCGCTGCGGCTGGTGCCGTTGAGAGGAAAGCTGCCTGTGAGATAAGCTGGAGTTCTGTTGGCATCCTTAGGATCTCAGTCCTATCAGTGCCGTCTCCTATCAGACTTCTGTGGCCAGATGTCCCTTTCCAGTTCAGTTTATTTTGACCAGAACTGAACACAGTAAATAAATCAAGGTTGGTGATCCGCTGATAAAGGAGGTTTTATGAGTGAAGTTCCTTAAGAAGAGCTAATGTGCTCACACTGAGGGCAAGAGGGAAATCAGGAAGAGAAACTAACTTTGGACTTCCCTTTAGAGAAGCCTTTCTTGTGTTTTAGAGAACAGCTGTGTAGACTTTAGGCAAGGAAGAGATTTCATTAACAAGCTGTAGAGACGTTCCTATATGCAATCTAAAATATTCT